CCACCCGAGGGGGCTGGCCCACCAGGCCTGGGGGAGGGGGCTGCTGATGGGCGGGTTGGGGGAGGGCTGAGGCCCGCTCCAGGCTGGTGGGCTTTGCAGAGAAGCGCCCGGGGATGCAGGGGATGGTGGGATCCTCTGCCTTGGCTGCCCTCAGCAGCTGGGGAGGGGGTCTTTCCTCCAGCTGGGGTTTTGAGGAGGAGGGGGAGTTTGTCCTGCCCCCACCCTGGAGAGCTCAGTAAATCTGGGGTGAGGTGAGGTAGAAACAGCCTCTGAGGGAAGATGCCTTGCTGTGGATGTGGGGGACTCCCCTAGTTGGGCTGATTATGCTAGAATTCAGGAATCTGGGACCATAATTCTTTCTAAATGACCCCCACCCTCTACACCCCTGCCCAGGCTGACTGCAAAGCAGGTGGCACCATGGGGGGTGGGTAGGGCTCCAGGGGCATTTGCTCCTGAGGTCGGAGGAGGAGGGTCTCTTGTGGGGAAAGTGACATGCGGCAGCCGCTGTGGCAGCCGTGTGGGGCTCCCCAGAAGTAAGTGGGAGCCACCACGGGGTCCAGAAGCTCCTCTTCTGGGTGTGCACCCCGAGGACCTGGACACGGGGGCTGAGAGAGCTGTGCCCCCCCCCCCACGTTCATGGCAGCATCGCTCACAGGAGCCAAGCGGTGGAAGCAGCCCAGGGGTCCATCGGCGGATGGACGGACGTGCAGAACGGGGGCCCTCCACGCGATGGACTATTATCCAGCCTTAGAAAGGAAGGAGCATGGACGGAGCTCGAGGACTTCGAGCTCAGTGAAATGGGCCAGTCCCCAAAGGACAGGTCTTGTAGGACTCCCCGGACACACAGTACCTGCGGGAGTTAGATCCGTGGGGACAGAAAGTGGCGGGGTGGGCACCAGGGGCGGGAGGGCTAGTGTTTCCTGGGGGCAGAGTGTCCGTGTGGGAAGACGGAAGGTTCTGGAGACAGACGGCGGGGACGGGAGCCCCACAGTGTGAATGTGCTTCCCGCCCCGAGCCATACACTTAGCGGTTACAACCACGAATTTTACGTTAGGCGTATTTTACGATACATAGGGATATGTTTGTTGTTGGTTTTTTTTTTTTTTAGATTTTATTTATTTATTTGAGAGAGGGAATGAGATAGAGAGAGAGCATGAGAGGGGGGAGGTTCAGGGCGAGAAGCAGACTCCCCGCTGAGCAGGGAGCCCGATGCGGGACTCGATCCCGGGACTCCAGGATCATGACCTGAGCCGAAGGCAGTCGCTCAACCAACTGAGCCACCCAGGCGCCCTAGGGACGTGTTGTAAAAGAAGGCCGACCGTTTGCCCAGTGAGAGCCCAGGGAACGGCTGTGCCCTCACGGGAGACGGCCTTGGGGTAGCGCCCAGCTCCGTCCCACGGCGCCCCGTCTCCTGGGTGACTCTTGAGAACCGGAGGTTGGAGGTCAGGCGTGAGGTGTCCCTGCAACACGGAGAGGCCCGCGCCTTCCCCATCAGCGAGGCCTGGCAACAGAGCGCGGGCCGAGTCTCCCTGGCGGCTCCGGAAGGCGTGCTGGTGGCGGCGAGCGCGTGGGCCGTGTCCGAGGTCACCGTGTGGCTGCAGCCGGACCCCACTGCCCTCCTGGGCGCGGCCCTTCTCCACACGCCCCGTCTGCACGGCCATCTGGAAGCCGGTTTAAAAAGTGGCCGGAGGGCAGGGGAATGCCGTGAGGGACCCCTGCGCCCGCCCTCCGTCTGGGACCTGGGTGCCCCTCAGCCGTCCTGTCGGCGCCCGGGGGGCGGGTGAGGTACACACACTACCTTTGCCACGGCGAAGGCACAGTGTGGGACTGGCGGCGGTGTGGCCCCATTCTGCTCGGAGGTGCCCTGGGGGCAGTGGCCACCCACCCCCGGCCAGGAGGAACCCCAGCCCCCCTTGGCCTTAGCCACCTGCACCCCCTGTCCCATACCAAAGAATTGGATACAGAGGTGGGAGCTCTTGCCCCCCCCCCACTGGGGGCCTTGCAGGGACGCAGACACCCGGGCCCACGGGGCTGAGAGGGTACTGAGGCCGGGCCCCCAACCCGGGATGGAGGGGGACTGGGGAAACCCTCACAGGTGGGGGGTAACGTTGAGGGGTGTACATCCAAGATAGGCCAATGCTCTGGCCAGGACGCCCACTTGACGTTGGCAGAGAGGTAGAGGGAAGCTCCCCCAATATCAACACTTTGGGGCATAAATTTGGTTGGTTTTCATTATGTCTGTATTTTCCAGATCCTCCTGAGTGAACATCTACTCCTGGGATTTCTAAAAGGGCGTATGCACACTTGGGCTTGGAATCTTGGGGAGGGCTGAGGCACCGGTGTGTTTCAGAAGAGCAGTGGATTTGGGGAATGGAGGGGAAGACGGGGTGCCCAGGAAGGGCTTCCTGGAGGAGGAGATGGCTGAGGAGTCCTTGGAGCGATAGTGGGTGTGTTCCAGGTAAGGAATTGCAGACACGTTGCCAGGCAAAGAGAATGGTGGGGTCCAGGCTTGGGGTGGGGGGCGTTGAAGTGGGGACCAGCATCTCCAAGTCTGGCTGGAAGAGGTTCCCCCGCCTGCCTGCCTGTGTGTGTTCACCCCTGTGTGTGCACCTGTGCGTGTGTGCCCCAGGCTCTGGGAATGAAGGGCCTGGCCCTGGCTCCCTGGTCCGTCAGCGTGGCCGCCGCCCCTTGGCGGGTCTGTGTGTGGACACAGCTCAGGTGTCCCGCCGCCCAGCTGTTAGAGGCCCCGAGCGTTCACATCGGGCTGAGCACTGCTCTGTGTCCTCTCGTCAGGAACAGGTGAGCCTTGGCCCTGGGGGGAATGTGGGGGTGCCCTATCAGCAGCTCATCCCCTGCTTCCCGTGGCGTTCCCATGGCCTGTCCAGTTCTGCACGCAGCTCCCACAGTGTCTGGGTCTGTACTGTCCCACCTGCACAGACACATGTGCTCCCCGCAGATGGTCTCCCTGTGCATTTCAGTAGCGCCCTGGCGGGAGCTGGGGTACAGGAGATTGCTCTCTGAGCACGTTCACCGTGGGCACTGGGTGCAGGGGCAAGTCTAGGCTGAGGCTGGGCTCTGCCCTTGTCTTGCTGTTGAACACGTGCTGGTCCTTTCTGTGCCTCAGTTTACCTATGTACAGTGGGCTTTCCCTGCCGAGACCACCTGAGAGAGGCCCTGGTTCTAGGTTGCTGGAGATGACCAAGGGTGGCCAAAGGTGAGTGAGTGGGGCACTGCTGAGAGAAGAGTAGTGCCCACCCCACCTGGCCCCCTTGGCCCCTGGCCAGGAAGGAGACCCTATTGCTGGGGCTGACTGCTTGGGTTGCCTGTGATTCTCACCTGAACAGAGGCCAGAACACTGTATCAGGTCAGGGTCACTGAGTCAGGGGCTCAGGGCTCCCCACACACCCCTTGTCTACGCACCAACCTCTCCTTCCATGATGGGTACCCCCGGGGAACAGGGGTCTCTAAGCAGGGAAGGACTGTGTGTGCGTACCCACGAGGGGGCTGGGCTGGGGCCTCATACATGGAAACTCCATCAGATCCTGTGATTCAGGGGGCTGAGCCCCTTCCCCAGAAGCTGGCCCTGGACAGCTGTCCAGCTGTGAATTCAGCCTCACTTCTTACCCCTGGGGGCCTGGGGCAAGCTGGTTCCTCTCCTGGACAGCAGGGGTGGTGATTCCAGCTTCTGCACCCACCCCTTCTCTCGGCTGATCAAGACCAGGCTCTACCCAGCAACCTGACCTTGCGGAGGGGCAGACTGCCCCTTGATCTTAGGGGCTCCTGCCCTTCATGGGGTGGGGGAATCACACGTGAACTGCAGTCCCATCAAGTTCCCAGGCCAGACTTGGGGACCCCAGCTTTTGCGGGCCAGAGCAGGCCCCACGTTCCCAAAAGGAGGGTGCTCTAGTCCTTGCACAGGAAGGGTGCAGACCCCAGGCTTGACCAGCCCCAGACTCGGGGGCCTCAGTTTCCCCAGTGTAAAGAGCGGCTAGGGTGAATGTGCAGAGGCGGGTGGTGTGGGAAAGCGCAGAGCCCTTGAGTCTCATGGGCCCCCTCCGGATTAGGGGCCTCTCTGGCCCACGTGGCCCCCACCCCCTCCGCGGCCGGGGGCAGGCCCAGGTCGCAGTCCCAAGCTGGTTAAAACCCTGCCGTGTCAGAGAGCAGCTCGCTCCCAACCTCTGAAAGGCAGACAAGCCCTTTATTGCTCTATTATAACGTGGAGCCAGATGGTCTTTTGGGAGTTGCCCCCCCTCGCCCCCCGTGGCCGCCCCCATTCATTCAGAGGCAGAGCCCGGCACTAATGCCGTTGGGGGGGGGGCAGGCACGCTTCCATGGCCCGGCCGCAGTGTGGGAACTGCAGGCCAGCCTACACCCACAGCCCAGCGCGGGCAGGAGGGGTGCATGGGGACCCCAACCGTGGCTCTTAGAGGCCAGACTCCCAGTAGGCCCTCCCAGGGTGTCTCCCCGCCGGGAGCCGGGACAGGGCTCTTAACCCTCCCCGAGGCTTGGCTTCCTCATCTGTAAAACGGGGATGACAATGGTGCTGCCTGAGGTTTGGGGAGATCCAGCTCTGCACAGGGGCGAGCATCAGGCCCTCCTGTGTCTATGTCTCCCCAAGAACGCGTTTACACTTTTAAACCAGTGAAAAAACACCCAAAGAAGGCAAAGATTTTGTGACACATGAAAATGAGTTGAAACTCAAATTGAGCGTCTGTGAATAAAATGCTGGGGGAGCACGCCAGGCACACCCCTTCGCTGTGGGGCGGGGTGGGGGGCTGCCCTCCTGATACGAGGCAGCGGTGAGCAGGTGGGGCAGAGACAGCCTGACACCTCAGAGCCAGTGCTGCAGGTGAGGGATGGCACCTGCTCAGTGTAGACCATTCGCACTGTGTGGATCTCTGTCCTCACTCCCCGCCACCCCGCCCCGGGGGGCTTGCCCCGCCAGTCCTGCTCCTCTGGGGGCTGCTGTGGGACCCCACTGAGGAGTGGCCTCTGCCAAGGCTGGGTGTCATCATGCCCATTTGCACAGGCGAGCACACCGAGGGCCAGTTTGTACCCGAGGCCGTTGGGAGCTGAGGCCAGACTGGAGCCTGGGTGAGGGCAGATGGGGCACCTGCTTCTTCCACGGAAAGGACCAGAGTGGGTACCCGGATCTGTTCCTACTTTGGTCACTCAGCCCCAGCATCAACCACTGTGCTTCTTCCAGGGTCTGGCCGGGGGGGCGGGGGGGTGGGGAGGGACCTTCCCCTCACACACACTGGACACGACAGTTCCAGGCCCTCAGAGCATTCTGCACCTGAGGAAGACCTATTTTGTTCTAAAATCACCCCAGCTCGCTCTCCCTAGCTAAGTTAGCTTCCTGCACAGTCTGACCCCATTTGCCCCTTGGGTACTGGACTGGCGGGTCCCACCCCCTTGCTCCACCTGGCTCCAGCTTGTGGGCCTGCTGGACACCGGGACGGCCCTCCCTGGGCCTTGTGTTCCCCATCTAATGGTTGAAGGGTTGGTCTGGCTGATCTTTAAAGAGCTCCCCTGCAGCCTGGTCAAGTCACTGGGGGCTCCGGAAATAAGCAGCAAGCCAGAGGCAGAGGGCTTTGGGGGTGGGCAACTAATTTGCACACGAATGATGGAGCAAGAAAGGACAAAGTGACCCATGGGGGTGGGGGCCGCCCACTGGCGGCTTAGTTACCTGAGAAGCTGGGGTGGAGGCAGAGGGGACCTGGGCAGCTCTGGGCGTGGGATTTGGAAGTCCCTTCTCTTTGCCCCACAAAGTGACACACAGATGCAGACCCCCCCCCTCCTAGGATGGCTGAAAGAGCCAAGAACCCCAGTTTGACAAGCTCCATCCCAGCCAGGACCCTCTGCTTCCCAGGCATTGTGGGAACCTGAAGGGTCACCGATTGGAGCTCAGCCTCCATGCCCCCCATGGTCACGCCAGCTCGCTGATCCTTGGACCCCCCCAGCTCCTCCCTGACCCCCCACAGGACCCCTGTTCCTGTCTCCAAACAACTTCATCAACATTCCTTTTGGGTACCTGCTGGGGCTTCCACATACGACAGACTCCCTCCTCCCCATTATAACTGGTAGTCTGGGCCAGCTGTTAGGGGTACAGGGGTCCAGCCCAGGCGGGGACCCATCAGTGAGGCTCAGCACTGGCGTGCAGGGCACACCTGGTGCTCCCTACAGCCACTGGGCTGGGGGTCTCCTCAGACCCACCAGGACACAACACCCCAGTTCACAGATGAAAGCTAGAGAGGCCCAGCCAGTCCCAGGATCCCAGCCGGCCTCAAGCTTACGGGAGGAAGCAAGACCAAGGTTGCCCACCCCCTGCTGGGCAATAATTACCCTCTTTAAGTGGCTGCCAGGTGCCAGGCAGAGTGCCCAGGGCCTGGCCATGGGGCAGGGTGTGGGGGAGATGGGCGAGGGCTTCAGATTCTGGCCCTGCCAGCTCTGCTTGTCCCCCACGTCTGGCGGTGACCTCATGTTCAGTCTCCTGCCCCGTCCCCCAGGACTGAGATGGCTCCTGGCCTTAGCCGGGAGGGTCTAGTGAACGGCCGCCTGTCCACTGGGCTCTGGGCCCGGCGGGGCAGACCCCACCCACCCTGGAGCTCACTCGTGGGAAAGCGAGAACAGCCCCTGTCAGCCCCCTCAGGCCTGTTTCTCTGTGTGTGAAACGGGGTGTGAGGAGGTCTCAGTGGTCTCTCACCAGCCCCAGGGACCCCTGCTGGTCTGGTGCCATGCAGGGAGGCTGGTGGGGGGGGCATGGGGTTCTAGATAGCAGCCCTGCAGCCCTGCAGCCCTGCCCGCCCCCAGCCCAGAGGGGAATTTGGGCAGGAGGGCGTCTCCGGGTGGCTTCCCACACTCCGCCCCTGCTGTGGACATTCATCCTGCACAAAAGGCGCGTGCGGGCTTTGTGTGTGGAGCTGTGGGCCCAGAGGCCATCTGGGGAGCCCTCCGAGCCAGGCAGGGCTCCCCCAGGCTGCCTTTGAAGGTTGGGGAAGCAGCAGCAGCTCCTGAACAACATGCTGGAGGGTCGCACATCTGGCCTGGCCAGCGCCTTCCCATTTCTGCAGCCCTCGGCAGTCCCTGTGCACCCCGGCCCTGGCACCACTGGCAGAACAAAGGGACAAAGGGGGATGCCTGCCGCCCCAACCCCACCCCAAGGGGCACCTCTGCTGGTAAGCACCCCATCTCTGATTGCTGCCCCCTGGGTGCTCCTGCCAGAGGACCTATGAGCTGCTAGGGCTGTGGCCCCAGGGTTCCAATCCAGTGCCGCCACTTAGTAGCTGGGCTCTCTGGCCCTCAGTTTCTTCGTCTGTAAAATGGGGCTAATAACAGTCCGTCTGAGGCAGGTGCCAAGAAGGAAGGGAGGGGTCAAGGCAGAGCATTGAGGCGGCCTCCCCACACTGTTGCTGGTATTAACATCGCCGTCTCTGGAGTCCCAGGCCTGGGCTCCACTAGGCCTTCGCCTTGGCCCGCCCCATTTCATTTGGAGCATGATCGCTGCCCAAGTTCTGGGCCACCTGGGAGCTCGCCGCTGGAGCAGGGAAAGGCTGGGCTTCAGGGGCCAAAGTGTACCCAGGACAGGGTGACCTTGGGTAGGGGGCTAGGCCTAGGTCTGTCCCCTGCTCTGTTGTCTTCCCTCCCCCTCAGAATTCTGAGCAGGTCCGGGAAGATGTGAGTCCTGTGCAACCTGTGTGCAGTCGGTGCCAAATAAGTGCACAGTTCCTTGCCACACCCTCCCTATCCAGGCCCCTTGGCACCCCCAAGTCTGACCTCAGCCCTGGGCCTGCCGCAAGTTGGCCCAGCTGTGGGCACAGCCACCCGTGGGTGGGGTAGCCCCGAGCTGACCCTCCTGTGACCACCCCCGTGAAGGCCAGAGGCCTGGACAATCAGGAGGGATGAGGTGGGTGGGGGGGTCTTTGAAAGTTCCTCCCGGCACGGGGGCAGTTCTGAACCTGGGCAGCTGGGTGGGTGGGGGCAGGGCACAGGGCGTCCGAGGGGCTCTGCTCTCAGGGGCCCTTCCTTGCTGAGGGACTCTGGGGCCAGTGCTTGGCAGACAGGACCTCTACGGGGAGGGGCCCTTCCCACCGCTGCCGGGGGGGGGGTACATCCTTGAGAGGGTGTCCTGCTGGCCCCGAGATAATCCGGGCTTTGGAGCGGCTGTGAGAGCCTGCCCGCCGACTTTCCCACAGCCCCACATAAAGGGCTGGCCACCAGCTGCTGGCCCACAAAAGGCTCCCAGCCATTCAGCGCCTGGAGGCAGGAGGGGCGAGCTGAGGAGTGGCCGGGCCTACCTGGCCACCCCCGAGCGGGACTTGTCTCCCTGGGGACAGCGCCTGCCTGCGGACCATGCAGGGGCCGGGAGGTCCCCGGGACCGGGCTTGGGAGCAGCCTCGTGCAGCCACCCCGGCCAGCCACGCGCCTGCCCCTCCCCCACCCCGTCTCGCCCCGGGCTGGCACCGTTCCTGGGCCTGTCACTCACCCTGGGCACCTGGGACAGCGGGCTTGTCAGGGGGACCCTCGCACTCCTGCTGTGGAGCTGGCACCCCTGGGCAGCCAGCCCCGCCACCCCTCCTCTCTACCGCACACCCTGGCCCCTCTGGCACCGCTGCTCCCAAGCCTGGCCTGCAGGGTGCTCCCATCCCCCTCCGCCCCACCGCATCCTGCCACACAGTGCGGGTAACAGGGCGGCAAGGCCGTAGGGGCAGAGGGATGGCTAACCTGCCCCCCCCCCCCCAGGCCTTGGCTTCCTCTCCAAGATGCAGGATGGCATTGCCTCCTCCCTGGGCTAGTGGAAGAGCCTCCTAAGGTCAGCTGCTTAAAAATACTAGGTCCCTGAGACGCCGGGGTGGGGAACCTGTGCATTTCCTGCCCCCAGGGATGAATTGTCCAGAACACCTCCCATGATGACCTTATAATATGAGGATCAGCCTGGGGGATGGAGGAGGAGCTCAGAGGCCTCCTGGAAGAGGTGGCCGCTGGAGCCTGGCCTTCCAGAAAGCGAGATGAGGGTGGGGTTTTCCAGGGGCAGTGCCCCTCGTCCACTCAAGGGGCACCTCTGCTGGTAAGCACCCCATCTCTGATGCGGCATCTCCCTGTTGTTTCCGCATCTCGAGCTGCCCCTGCAGCCACTTTCATCTCCCAGTGAGTACGGCTAGGCCCAGCAGGTGTCTGGCTGGGAAAACTCCTGCTCAGGTGGAAGACCAGTCAGGTGCAAGGGATTGGAGAGGCCCAGGGGAGAGACCAAGCGTGGCTCCTGAGAGCAGGCAGCGATCAGAGGGGGACATTTGACCTGTGCCTGGAGGGTGGGAAGGTGGGGTCCAGGAAGGAGTTGCTCTGGACGCTGAGCCCCCAGGACAGCGGCTTCCCCCTGGCCTCTGCAACCTGGGCAGGCAGCTGGACCGTGGGGGCTGCTCTGTGAGGGTCTGACAGCAGGACTCGGTCGTAGGGCACGTCCCAGCTAGTGCCCCACGTGTCCCCCTGCCGCCACCCACACCCCCACCTGCTGGGAGCGGGGGCGTCATTATCCCAGCCCAGCAGCCCCGGGGGTGGGGTGGGGGGGGCTGTGCTTTGTCCAGCCTTGGCCGCTGATTGGAGGCGGAGCGTGGGAAGGCACGCGCAGCCCAGGCCCCACCGCCCTGCTCCGCATAAAGGCACTGCCCGCATCCGGCTCCTCCACCTCCCCCGACCACTCTCTTGCCTTGTGCGCCTGGACGCAGGCACAGCCCCTGAGCACCCCCAGAATGAAGATCGGTTGGGGTCTGGGGCACCGGCAGTTGGGATGGGGGTGGGGTCCGGGCGGGGCTGGCAGACGCCCCCCCCCCCCCCCCCCGCCACCTCCCTGGGCTCCCTTTTGTTTGAGAAGTTTGCAGGCACCACCCCAGCCCTGAGCTGGAGAAGGGACAGCGTGGAGACAGGGGGCAACATCCCGGGTGAGCGCCGCACCGGCCTGGTGGGGGGTGGGGGCTGGGGGCGGCTGAGGGGTGCCCCCTAGGCCAGGCCCCCCCCCTCCACGGCCTGCTTCCCCCGCCGGCTTACCCGCCTGGCTCAGTCTGCGCAGCCCCTGCGCCCCGGCAGCTCCACCAGTGCCTTGAGCAGGCCTCAGGGAAGGCGATCCGCTCTGCGCCCCCCGGCGTGATGGACACGCGGGCCAAGAAGAAGAGTGCTTGCCGGAGTCCCGCTGCCACACGAGAGCCGCGAGCTGGTGGCGGTGGTGGCGACATTGCCAGGCCCCTGGGAGAGGGCTGGGCTGGCTGGGCGCAGCGCCCCTTGCGCAGTAGGGCATGTTGTCTCCCCTCCTGTTTCCTGCCCAGCGCCAGGGCCCTGACCGGGCAGCCCAGCCTGCGGGCAGGGGCGCCGTCAGCTGCAGGCAGAGTGCCCCCCCCTCTTGAAGGAGGGGTCCTGGGGGCGAGGGCTTTGTGTGTTACAAGGTCTGTAAATGGTCATGACTGGTGGTGCGTAGGGGTGGTAGGACGGCTGCGTGGTCACCCCAGCCAAGCCCGGCAGCTGGACCTCCATTTCTTCCAGGATGATAAAGGACCGGATGCTTTCTGTAAGAGGGCGGAGGGAGTGGGAGGTGCGGGCACTGGAAGGGCGTGGCTGTGTGCTGGCCACCAGTGGGGGCATCCCCAGGGGCTGCAGGTGGATCCGTTGGTCAGTGGTGGTATGCTTCAGAGTGGGACCACTCTGGAGCTTGGATAAAGGTGCTGATCTGCAGCCTCTGCCCCATCCCCCAAGGCTGACTGATTCAGGGCCCTGCCCAGGCTGTGGGGACGGATCCCCCGCCTCCCGGGATGGGGCCTGCCCTGCTGGCCTCTTCCCTGGAACTGAGGTCAAGGCCCAGATCACTCCTCTGGCTCCTACTGACAGGGAAGACCCTCAGGACGTGCCGAGCCAGGGGCAGCTCCTTTCCTCCCTGGGCTGCCTTGGGGAGCCTCCTGTTTACTCTGAGTCCCTGTGGGACAGGCATTGTGCTGGCCCCCCCAAGTCGTGGGCTCCAAAATCACGGCAGCCTGGAGGCAGGAGCCTCACTGTCCCCATGTCACAGAAGAGCAGGCCGAGAGCCTGCCGTGGACACACAGGGAGTCAGGGGTGGGTGAGGGCCTCTCTGCAGCCGGGCCTAGCCCTGCCCTGAGGTGGCCACCCGCGTGGACTCAGCGGAGCAGAGGGTGTGCCTTATCCAGCGCTCTTCCTGCGGGTTCCCCAAATGTCGCCCCGCATTTTTTCCAAGGGTAAGCCCAGCCTTCCCCCACGTGGCATCAGAGCTGAGAAATTGCTCTGTCCTGGGCCCAACCAGGGTCCTGCACCGAGCCCACTGGGCAGAGAGCATTCTGCGTTTTGCCTGGGGCAGGGCCCAGGGCACACCGTCTTAGAGGGGTGAGGCCGAGGACCACTCTCCCCCGTCTCTGACGCGGTGGTGGGAAGGGGGCAGGCACCTCCAGGGGAGACGGAGCACAGGGTCTGGACTTTGCTGCCCCCTGGTGTCCTGTGACCTGACCGTGGGAAAGGCCCAGCGGTTCAGCC